TCAATATAATCAATTATTTCGTAAGATCATTCTTGTTTAAATTAAAAAATAGGCATTGGAGTTGTTTGCGTTTTGGACGTCCCATTTTACTCCGCCTATGGGGTAAAAAGGACCAGGTGACAAATTTTTGAAAAACAGCAAAAGAACACAGTTTTTACATGATGGATTTTACTGGAGATTATCGGAGATTATTTGGTGTGATTTAATTAGTTTGGTTTTCAAAATATAATTGCTCAAAGTCTAATTGACCTTTGTGCCTTGTCCTACCCTATGTTGGAGATAAGAAAAATGCATGAAATAAGAAGGATCCTAGTATTTTTTCGCCAGTTCTCGATTTAAATACCTGTCTCATAAAAGTTCATCTAAATATTGGTGCATATTTCATTCGATCTGTCTGTGTATCTTTGAGCAAAGAACGAATCTAAACTTAAGGAGCGACAAATATTCTTACGCCAAACACAACACAAGATTTCTATGCTATAAGTAGGTTTGAGAACCGGATATGACAATGTGTAACATCTGTTCTCGCCTGTTGAAATATGAGGCAAATATTCAAAGAACAGTGTCGAATTTGAATTAAAATTACAAATTAAAAATTTCCATTAATTTTTCACAAGAAATTGTAATTCTCATTCCATTCGCGGGTGGAACTTTTTACGAAGACGAAAACATTATTTGCTCGAAGTGATAATTGTTTTGTAAATAAATGAAATCAAATTGAAATTAAGTAAATTATATTTGTTGAGCAAATAACTACTTATCTTGGGTAAATAACTGTTTAACATGACGTGTTTAGCTACCCAACATGATGTCTCTTTATTTGACTTTCTATTGCACCTTCGAGTTTGAGATATTTGTTCTCCAAGACCACTTAATAATAAAGATGCTAAAAAAATATTTTAAAATAAAAAATTAATTCAAGAGTAAAATTTCAAAGTTTCAATTTAATGCTAAAAATGTTTAAGAACCTAATTGCAGTTAAAATATTTCCTCTGATTACATCTTCATTCAAAAAAGATACAGAATATTTAGGTTTATCAATTGTACTTATAAGTAACTTGAAACATTTATTGAACTAGATGTAAGTGGCATTTTGATTTAAGGAAAATTCATGATCTTCGCAGCAAAGGTAAATAATCCAACTGTCGAGATTTAGCAACTTTGAAATATTTTTTTATGATAAAACCACTTTTTGTAGGGCTTAGAATGTTCGTTAAAACCGGGATCTCTATTACTATGCAAATTTTCATTGAAATCTAAAATCAATTATAAAAAACGACCCGACCGATCTTTACCAAAAACTAATCATCACGATTCCCAAATGATATATTTCGAACAGTTTTTAAATTTTCAAAACAGGTTCAAGATTTTTGACGAAAATTGTAAAAAACAATTCTACATTAAATTCTGCTGATTCTAAATTGCCTGATTGTTTCGCAAATCTAATAAATGAGAATATTTATACAGTTTTTTGTTTTTCAAAGGTTTACAATTGGTCAATATATTTCGAACATTTTTTAAATTTTCAAAATATGTTCAAGATTTTTGGCGAAAACGTTGAGAAACAATTTTACAGTAAATTCTGCCAATTCGAAAAAAAATGGCTTGGCTGATCGACTCGTAAATCTAATAAAGAAAATTATTAATACAGTTTTTTTGTGTCTCTCAAAGTTTTCAAATCGATCTATCTGCTTGTTAGGAAAACGTGAACTAAAGGTCAAAATTTTGCTGAAAATATTAACTTCTTATTCGTCTAAAAATGCCTTTCTCGATAACTCATCAAACATTGTCATTGTTCAAATTAAATAAATTGCAGCAAATAATCACGAATCGTCGAAAAAATACATACATAAATATTTGATGTAAAAGAATTTTTTTATTAATAAAAAAACAAAGAAAAGTATTTTTCATATGATCTTAATGTCTTACTATATCTTTGATCTACAATGAAGTTGATTTTTTTGTAATGTAGAGTATAAAAAAGATCACGACTGCAGCTCACCATGTAGAATTATAAGCATAAAATGCTATAAATATTATTTAAAACTACTATTTCATTTCCTAAAAAAAATTCATTTTATTTATCAGGTCGATCCAGCTATTTAGCAAAAACTGTTTCCACTAAATTAACCATCACAATCAACATGATCTTCAATTACCATCTCATTAGTATCAAATATTTGCCTGAGCTTATTTTTTTCACTGTTTTGTATGCGCAAATCATAAAAGAGTTTGCATTCCGTACACAAATAGATAATTTTAAGTGTGATGTGTACTTTTAAAATTATTTTAACAAAAATTCAACTTAAAAATAAGTTATCAACGTAATATTAACATAGTGTCAATATCTTACGCAAAGTCAACACAGGTTGATTGCTATTTGTTTTTCGTAGAAAATGATAATATGAAATTTTAGACTTCATTACTTGAGAAACTAGTTATGTAATAGATAATAAAAACATCTGAAATTTATTGATAACTATTTAAAAACTTCGTAATTTTTTATATAAAAATAAATACATTACTACAAATGGGTAGAAAACAATCATCATAATATAAAATCATTTATTTGGCAACATTTATTAATGAGTAATCATAATCATGATTTTCAAAACGCAAAAATACTAAATAAGCACTATTCATTTTAATAAAATCAACAAGGTTAATTTTTACAATGATTCATTCCATCCAGGTCAATTTTCATTATGAATCATATAGGTTTTTTTGCATTTTCCGCAAGTAACACAATTTTCCAATGACGTATGAAAAGTTTGATAAAGTAATAGAGTTATGTCATAAGATTTAGCTGGAAAAACTATCGCATGTCCAGAAGTGAATGCTTAATTACTTCAGAATGTATTCGTGTAATTGCCAATAATTAAAACTAATTCAATAGTTTAGAATAAGCAATTACTGCGACATTTGCAAAGTCATTCTGATATGTCTTGTGGTCTTCCTCAAAGATTTAACTATATTCATATATATATATATATATATATATATATATATATATATATATATATATATATATATATATATATATATGCTGCCCTAGGGCAGGTCCGCGAGCTTAGTTAAACTTTCCTGAACTCGAACTTTTCCAACTCGATTCAGGGAAAAATAGTGTGAGAAATTTTCCATTGCCAACAGTGCCATAAATTAGCTTATTTTCAATTGAAAGCATGTTTTTGATCTACATTTTCAAGTGAAAATGGACATCGCTGCTGTCCGATGTCAGGTTGTCCAGAACAGGGTTTGAACTCACGACAAGAAATTTAATGATTTCTATTTTGTGCCTCCAAATCAATAATCCAAATCCATTGATAGTTGACATTGTTATAATTTTTTTTATTTTTGTAATTATTATATTTTTTGTTATGTTCTTATGTTTCAAGCAACACAATGAATATTAACTTCACAATAAATTGAATAAATAAAATTTAATAAGAAATATTTTAAGATCTTTGTTCTCTTCTTCATAACATGAACTGCTGAATGGACTCAAGGATTATGTATCGAAATTTACTTTTTACTTTATTTTTTGCGAATTGGATGCTTTACATAACTAATAGAAATATTTTAAATTGCATGTTCTTTAATATTATGTAATAATATTTAAATTCCTTATGAAGTGCTGAATAATGACTCCAATGATCAAGTGTGGAAATTTACTTGTTATTTCATTTTCTGGCGATTTTGCTGCTTTACATATATTAATTAAAATATTAGAAAATTTATATCATTTTATTTTTAATTTTTTAATTCTCTATCAATTCATGAAAAATAATATAGGTACTCATGTGAACTTTACTAAAGTTACAGCTGATTCAAACAAGTAACTCGAAACACAAAAGATCATATAACTTTTTTTTTCAAGTGTAATATTTCATTAAAATATTTCAAGTGCATTTTTCGTTAATTATTTGTAAACCAATATCTTTTAAACCTTACTTTTATAAGGTGCAAATAAAATTTTACAAGCATAGCTAAATTAATATGTTTAAATTAGATTGATGTTCATTTTTTTAGAACTTTACTTTATAAAACCTGTTACGTTTTAAAATTAACGGAAATAAGTAACAATAAAAGTTTTTGGATTCTCGAATATAATGATCAAATTGATAAACCTTCTAAAAATCTATATTTATAAGTGAAAACCGATGTCACTTCTGCTAAATATCAATTCTAGGTGGATATCGAATCTGAAACCTTAGGTTGCAAGACCAAAGCCTTTACCACAGATCTACGATAAAGACCAACATTTGGTACAAGAAGTCTAGTTACTTTGACTCAATTTGATAGTTTGAGTAAACAAAAAAAGTTTCTGATATATCACCGCTTTTTAGTACGACGCCTTATTAAAATCTTCTGGATTTGCACTTTTCTGTTTATTTTATCTTTGTCAGTAGTATTTAGAAAAATTCATAAACTTTAATTATACTAGATAAAAATAAAAAAAATATTTTCATTTATTTTTTAGTATTCTCTCAATCTTTTGCGTCTGCTACCTTATCTTTTATATGTCTGTAGTTTTTAACTTCTTCGAAAAAATTTTTCGTCTTCATTTCAAAGAAGTACAAGTGTTAAAACACTACTCTTCCTGATAAGAAGTTTAAACTTAGAAGTAGATAAGGTCATATTTTTGTTTTAGAGGATGTCGCATCGATAAAAAGTTGTAATTTTCCGTAACTAAAAAAATGCTTTAAATATCGACGTAAAATAATTAGACAGACAAGTGATTCATAAAATGTGATTTATGAGGAGATATAATTATGGGATCCAAACAACCGCGCATTGTATAAATGGATTATATAAATATACACATTTTTTGGTTAATGATAATTTTAATAAAAACTAAAAAAAATAAGTGGAGAAATACAGGTTTGTAATTTGCATGTGCGCATTTTATTCAGGACGCCGGTACGCATACAACGACAGATCTCTATTCACATACGCGACGACTAATCACAATCGACCCGTATAGAAATGATATCATCGAGAGCGAATGGCGAATAATTGGCACTCGACTCTTATCTTATCTTATCTGCCGTAACGCACTTCCGTCGCATTTGTACGAATTTACACCCTAGTCGCGCCTAAAGAAGTCTTACTTCAAAAATATACAATATACAAATATGGTAAATGTGGTAAAGGCTTAGGTCTTGCAAACAGAAAGTTCCAGGTTCTATTCCCTTCCCGGACATCTGGATATCAAACATCACTTGTAAAATATAGATCTAAATATTATTTCAAGTGAAAATAACCTTACATATTTATATTACATCACGATTAGAAATTTCTAATAATAATGTCATCACAAAGAGAATAGTTGACTATGGATTACACTTTATCACCTCTAGGCTCAGAAATTACTTATCGGCAATAATCAATTTAAATGTTATTAGGAAGCTTTGATGATAATTTAATTATTCTCAGATATTTTAAAAGCAGCAGTATATATTAAACGATGAAAAACAAAGATAATCTATATAAATAATTTGATCATCATCATTTAGTTTTGAGAAACGCTGCACAAGTCTACAAAGCATTATGCTGGATAAAATTATATGATAAAGTATTAATTTTTTTCGAAGGAGGCTCGACTTTAGCAGTTTCGTCATTCAGTCAGTTATTACGTAGATTGTTAAACAATATATGTAGATGAGTTGATAGTAGACGATTGATATTTGACACGACCTATTTCTCATCTAGTGCTTATTGCAATAAAAAACAACTGCATCATACATATAAGCGCGAGCTTTTAAAATGGTGTGATATGAAGATAATGTTACAAATATGTTTTCCATGCCGTGAAATGATTTATGGCCTACGCAAGAGAAATAAGGACGGGTTTACATGATCCGCGAGATTATTCAAACGAGATTATTAAGGCAAATTAAACCAGAATTAAATATTCGTCCAGTCATTTAAGCTTAAATTAGGTAAGACTCTCGGAATTTGATATACCCAGCTGTAAGTCTGTAAATACTTGTATAATGACACCTAGAAGTTGTCTCAAAACCTACATATCGTAGGGTGTCAATACCATATGATGTATTCGCTGGTAGCTACTGATTACAGTTTACGTCCTTAAATAAAATACAATTTGAGAGAGATGAAACAAAAGCTACTAATTACAGTGTACCTATCTTTGAAAGACATTAATTGGAAATAGCATCGATTTTTTTTTTGTAAAAGCGAAAAACAATATTTTTGAAATAAACAATTGAACATTTTACCTAAATATCTAAATTTCAATTCTTATTGGTTAATTATGTCTACGTATCGGAAAGTCCATGCAACTTGCCCTAATTTTAAGGCAAAATGCTACTTACACTTTTGATTAGTAATACACATTAGGAATTTATCATTACAACAGGAAAAATGTTTTTCAAGAACATGTTTTCATCTCGAATCTCAACTATCTTCCATTGGCATTCTTCTCAAGAATCGTAAAGCACGTGAGAGTTTTTATACAGGTGTAGTTTTATTTTTGAACTCAACATGACGAAGAATAAATACAAATTGATCAAAAAAATAAATAAATTTTTATTGCATTCGCACACAATACATCAAGCTACCGGTAATAAACGCTAAAAAACTGAATTACTTTTGCCGAGTGAACAAAACTGCCGAAAACAATGGTAATCGAGATAAATGCAGAAAAAAGTTAGGTCGGTTTTTACTCAAACTAAGTTTTATTACTAAAGGTAATAAAACTTAGAAGTAATTAAAGTGGATTTTTTGTTTAAAAAATTAGCTTAGAAAATGTTTAAAAATGAAAACATATTTTTATATAGAAAATTATCATTGATCTTTTTTGTAGTATTTCCAGTAATTTAAATATGTAAGCCATTAACGAACAACTTGAAGCAGTGTTACTCGAATGATTTATTAAAGGTTTATTAAATATAAATTTCTGTGAAGTGATAAATTTAGTATTTCATATTTATTTATCGTCCTTAATAAAAAATATAATTTTGAACATATAATTAATAGTAATAGTTTATAAATATACTAAAAGAGTAGAATTTCGCTTATTAACGCAAAGGGGGTTTAAAAAGATAAATACAGATTCAGCTAATATTCTGGGGTCACCATTTTTTCCTTATGTAAAATAATAGGATTTTTGGTCTTGGAAGTAGAGTTGAAACTGATAATATGTTCGGAAAACATAGTCTTATACTGATTTGGACTTTTAGAATTACTAATATGTTGATTCATTATCTTGTAAATATATTGCGAACTTTCTCCAATATAGCAACAATTATATTATATTATCTAATAAAGTTACCATGGTTCATGTAAAATTTTTCTGATATTCTTGTAGCGATTAACGTGTTAAATAGATATAGATCATATATATATATATATATATATATATATATACATACATATATATTTATATACATAATTTATGTTCATGTATAATTGGTGTCAATTTGTAATTTATTTTTGCAAAATTTGTTGATTGAGCAGTTTCGCTTCCGTATATGTGCAATACTTGATCTACCTTAACACTTTGGTGATCATGAGCACAATTTTTATTTCGAAATTAATCTTATTAAATACAATATAAATTGTGAAACTTTCATATAATTAATTTTGATGATATATGAAAATTTAGATTTTTTTAAGCCTATCTAAAGGGCGAACGATAACCAATACTCATTGTCAGAGAGGCCAAATTTATCAAAAATATTAACTTCGCCTGATTCCACTGAAAATATGTTCAATTATATGCAATCAATTTTAATTCAAAAATTATAAAATTTTAAGAAAACATTGCAACTAAATTACAAAATTATGATTGATAATTATAGGTTTATTAAAACAATTATATAACGTAAGATGAATTCAACTTTTAAGTTAAATTTGAACTAGTGCCATAATTATCTTCATTTTTTCTTACTTTAATTAAAAAAATAAATTGA